CTGGGTGGCTTGCGCGAGCTTAGCTGACCCGCTCGCCTCAAAAGTAGATAGGCTGGTCGGCATCACAGCCAGGCGCAGTGGGACCAGGCGCAGGGCGGCTCCACCATCCACCGCCTGCCGCTCTCTGTTTCGCTGTAAGGACATTTGGCATCCACAGCGCCGTTTTGCGCGTCGGCGCTGTTGTCCCCGTGCCGCTGCAAGGCGGCTGGCGCGCGCCGACCGCCCTTCGCGTGCAGTTCCAAGTGGCGGACCTGTCCCGTGCGCAGGTCGCAGTGAGGCCTTCAGGCTAGCAAGCACCTTGTGACAAGGGGCGCAGCCGCCGGCGCAACCTGCTGAAAACATTGCCGTTGCCCCTTGTTGGCGGCCTTTGAGCGCACTCCGCCGCCGTTAGAGCGGGCCGCGCAGGCGGGTTTTGGGTTGCAAACTCAAGCGAGGAGGGTATGCTAGCCGCTGCTCTTTTGGGCGGCTTCGCGTTCGACGGTTTTGCCGGCGCAGATGCAGCAGCCGCAGCGCGCACATTGACACAAAAACCATTGCGGCAAGGAAAGAAGAAATTGATCTGTCCCTCGCACAACAAATTCGGGACTGTCTCAGATTTGGACGGTCGACGGGCCGCCTCTCACCCGACGCTGCACGAGCCATTCCCAGGTTATGCCCACCGCAGCAGCGTGCAGCCTGGCGTTCTGCTTCGCATCCTTTCTCTGTACCATCATCAGTATGGCTCCAGAGGGTGCCGGCGGGCACGCACGCTATCCGTCGGCGCGTCATGCCCATCGCTTACCAATACGCTGGATTGAAACACACCTGAGGTTCCTGCATCGCCGCGGGCCGACACGGCTCCCTTGCGGGGGCTTGGCATGTGCCCCACCGCAGGGGGCCTGCTGGCGCCCACGTGCTTATGCTCACTTCGCCTGGGTGCACCATATAATTTGCGGGGGCGCGTGCCGCCCGCGATTCGTCTCCCGGCCAGCCGTTTTGCCCGAGCGCGGCGCCAGGGCCGACGGCCGTGTTTGCGTGAGGGTGTGGCTGGCTTCGAGCCCGCGCGGCGGTGCTGTGCCGCCACTGTATCTGTAGGGGGCTGTATTGCATTCTGCGATCTTCGTCTGGGGCGCGCCTCGCCCCGCCTTGTAAGGAACATAAATGTGACGTGCCCGATGACACGTTCCTGGGTCGTGGGCATTGACCCAGCCGGGGCAGCGCCGTCATTGTTGTAGCCCTGGAGAACCCGCTGCATGGCTGCTGCTTGATGCTGTGGTTCTGTTACCCTTCTGCACAGTCGCTTGGGCACGCGTGCAATCCAGGAAGACAATTAGCTCGGCAGTCATTCCCCTGAGTCACCCATGAACACCGCAAAGAAGCGGAGCATTCTGCCGCCACTGGTCTGCTGCCGCTGCATACACAAGTGCATGAATATCAGATATCGTTAATTACTTGTGAGCGCGTACCCTTGCTCGTCAGGCAGTGCAGAGCAGTAGCGCCTCCGTCCGATTGTATCCGCAACTACCCGGTTGTATTATATTAAGGAATCTCCAGAAGTACCTGAGGGTCCCGGGCTGGTCGCGATTCACGTGCGAAGTCCTGCCAAGCGCGACGCACCTGGCGCATTAGCCAAGAAGCACTGCAGACCCTGCCACCAATGGCACAGCCTGTGCTTGTGCCGGCGCAAGTGCCCCAACACCGCCATCCGTGGCCGGGGGAGCTCTTCTTGTATGGCGGCGCATCGTGCGTGATAGCAGGTGTGCCTTGGGGAGGTGGCTGCGGATGTTTGGGCCTGGTTGCTCGGATTGAGGGTGAATGAGCAGCATGCCACAACGCAGTACTGCAAATGCTGACGCTGTTGCCGCCGCGCAACACCTGCCTTGCTCGCTCCCTGCACCCGCCAAGGACAGCGGTCATCACCAATCCGCTGGACGTGGCTAAGACGCAGCTGCAGGTGCAGGGGGAGCTGCAGTCGACGGGCCAGGCGGCCACGCGGCCCAAGGGCGTGATCGGAGCTCTCTACACGCTCGTGCGCGCCGAGGGTGAGCGCGCCCACCCTCTAGCACATTTTCAGAGGTTGCGGTGATGGCGACCGAAGCGGCGCTGGCGGCACCCGCCCCGGGATGCAAGCTTCGGCTGCCGTCAGAGCGGCCCTCCAGCGACCAGCCACGCACGGCCCCCGCCTCACCCTCCCCCCTGCCGCCGGCGGCCGCACCCCACAGGCCC